GGGGAGCTGAACTTTATATCATTATGAACTATCTATACAGGGTAATGCTTTTGCTTTACTATTTAGTCTATTTTAACATAGCTCTTGTTAGCATTGCGTGTTAGAGCTTTCCCCATCCCTTATCTGTCCTCATCTCTATATTTCAGGTACCTCTATGTAAACAAGTAGTCAGATTTTGTTCTTATCCAAAATAGGTCTGAAAATCTGAAAACTTTTGTTTTAATGGGAAAATGTAGTCATTTTATATATAATGAAATTGCTTTTGTATTTGGATTTTTAAAAACCTGTCATCTTAATACATACTTTCTAAATGTCCTACTTGCCTGTGTTCTTTTTTCTCTTCCTTCTTTGCCTTCTCTTGGAAGTAGGTTATTCAATTATCCCTCTCTATTCATTTGGAAGTTACTTACTTCTTTATAATTTTTAATAACTGCCCAGAGATTACAGCATGCATTTAAAACAAAGCTGACTTCCTTAAAATGCGTGGCAGAACCTCTGAACCTGAAGTCCCCCAAAACCATCATTATTATTACTATATATGTAGCCAATATTATTTGATATTTACCCATATGTTTGTCATTTCATTGTCCTTCCTATGTCTCTGAACTTCCATTCAGGATTGTTCTTCCCTCAAAATCACCCTATTAATATGAGTCTGCTAGTAATGAATTCTCTTAGATTTTTAAAAATTATTTTTCAATTGAGGCAGGGTCTTGCTATGTTGCCCAGCCTGGTCATGAACTCCTAGGGTTCAAGTGATCCTCCTGCCTCAGCCTCCCAAGTATCTGGGACTATAGGTGCACACTGCCATGCCCAGATTCTCTCAGGTTTTACTTGTCTGAAAAAAGAATGTTTTATTTATCTAAAAAACATTTCACCTTCATTTTTGGATAATGTTTTCTGAGTAGTAAATTATAAGATATTTATTTTGTCCAGTCCTTATGCTATTTTGATTTGTAATAAGAACTGTTTTTGGCCCAGTTTCCTGACACGCAGCTCCTAAGACCCTTGAAGTCACTTAGGCAATGCATTTTCCTGGGTGCTAACAAGATGAGGGTGGCTGGGGGCTTCTAGGTAGCGTCAGGATGGATGCCAGTTTCCAGGAGAGCCTACTACGGGATTGGTTGGGGGGTTGGAACTTGCAGTCCACCCCATCCCCCACCTCCAGGAAGGTGAGCAGAAGGGCTGAAAGGGGTCAAGTTCATCACATGGACAATAATGCAATCAATGGCACCTAAATAATGAACCATCAACCCCAAAGTACTGGATTTAGAGTTTCTGGGCTGCCAAACATGTAGGTTCCAGAGGCTGGTTTGTCCAGAGAGGGCATGAACGTGTTGTGCCCTTTCCCACACATCTTGTTCTGTGAAATCTCTTCTTCTGGATATTCACATGTAGCCTCTCAAATATCCCTTGTATTAAGTTGAATATAAAATCAAGTTCTACCCTGAGTTCTAGGAGCCTCTCTGGCAAATGAATTGAACCTGAGGAGGGGGTGCTGGGAGCCCCTCAGTTAACAGCTACCAGATCACAGATAGCGCTGGGGAGCAGCATGGTGAGGTAAATAAGCCAGACTCAGAAAGACAAATACCACATACTCCCAAATACGTGGAATCTAAAAAAAATGTGACATAAAAGTAGGAGGGAGACTATTATTAGATAAAAGGAAGGGAAGAGAGGGAGTGGAAGGATATAATAGGGGAGATGGATATGATCAAAATATGTTATACACACTGGAACTCAATGTTTTGTAAAATTAATAGGCACTAATTATAAAAGGGAAACATTTTTTTAAAGAACGGAAAAAACAATAGTTAAATGTTGAATCTTGATGGTTCACCCTGGTGGAGTTCACTCTAGGCCACAAAGAACACAAAAAATGAAAAGGTCATAGTTAGAAAAAAAAATTGATTGATCAGTCACCGTCTGGACCTACAATTGGCAGCTGAAGGGGGCTCAGCCTCTTTATCTAAGGGATCCACACTGACTCGGGTTAGTGTCAGAATTAGGTTATACTGCGGGGCAGACTGTTCGTAAAGGAAATATCCACACATCTGACTCGTTGCTTATCCTCTCTTGCAGAGCCCCTAAACGGTTCTATCTCCCCTGGCTTCCACTGTTTCCCCGAAGAAGTCAGCTTTCTAAGTATCCATGGCCCCATTGAAGATAATCTGTGTTTTTCTCCGGTTCTATTTTAATCTCTTTGTCTTTGGGCACACTCTGATGGTGAAACGTGTGTACCTTTTCACCTGTGCTGCTGTAGGTTCTTGGGGCTCACTGCACATACAGACTGACCGCTCCTTGGTTTTAGGAAGATCTCAGCCATTGTCCCTCCACACGTTACTTTTTGCCCAGTCCTCTTCCACCTTCCACAGTCTTCTTCATGTTCCTTCAACTCTTTTTCGTATTCTCCATCCTTTTACCTTTTCACCTTGCATTCTGATATTGTTTTCTGATCTATCTTCTAACTCATTAGCTCATTTGCTATTAAACCTATAATTTGAGTGCTTGGTTTCAGATAATTTTTCTAGAACTTCCATATTTTAAAGAAAGTTTTCCTTCTCTACCAAAATTCTCAGTAACTCTTATCTCCATCATGTGTTTTATTCCCTTATAAGCATTTAAGAATTTTTAAAATATTCATCTGATGATTCCAACATCCAGCACTCCTGTTGTATTTGTTTTGTTTTGTGGTACTGGGGAATGAACCCAGAGCCTTCACACTGAACTATATTCACAGGCCTCTTTTTTACATTTTATTTTGAGAAAGAGTCTCACTAAGTTGCTAAGTTGCCCAGGATGGGCTCAAACTTGCGATTCTCCTGGCTCAACCTCCCCAAGTACTGAGATTAGAGGTGTGCACCACATCCCATTTGTATTTTCTTTTATGTTTTATTTCTGTTGTCTGTTCTCATCATATGTCTCCTCTTTATTTTTTGGTTTCATACTTTGCTTGGGTGTGTGTGTATTTTTATTCTTTCATGGGTTGTGTTTTGTTGTTTTATTGTCTTATTTTTGGGGCCCTGGACATCGTAGTTGCAAAATTGTTTCTGGAACTCATCTGACAGAGGATGGTGTCTTCTTGCAGAGAAGAGTTATGGGAACTGGAGGGCACCAGCAACCATGGATCCCCCTAATCTGGGGCAGGAACTGAGATCAGCCAAGGCTGCAAGTCCTGCAAACCTGCCTTCTTCCAGTTCACCCTCTGTTACCACAGCAGGACTTTGCAGTCTTCACCCAAACCAACAAACGCCCCTCCTGTAGTCTCATGAGACTAAATCCTCTCTGTAAGAAGACACCATCCCTCATTCAGCTTCAACCACTTCCTCCATTCCTGATGGAAACGCCTAGGCTCACCTCCTTGTCTCAGTCCCCTCTGCATCCTGGCTCAGGAATTCCCTGTGGCTAGGTTTATCTCATTAATGCTGTAAACAGTCTGCTTTATTATATTTATTGTATTTTATTTTCAGTGCCGAGGATTGAACCCAGGGCCTTCACACTGAGCTACATTCCCCAGCCTTTTTATATTTTTTATTTTGAGATAAGGTCTTGCTAAATTGCACAGGTTGGGCTGGACCTTGCAATCCTCCTGCCTCAGCCCCCCAGAGTGCTGGGATTACAGGTGTCTACCACCATGCCCAGCTTCCCAGTCCACTAAAATACACAGCTCTTCTAGTTGCCCTCAGCAGGAAGTGGATCCCCACATCCCAAGCTGCTGTTACTGAAAGGGAGCAGACATCTGCACTCTCGCCAGGGATACTTGCATCAGTGTCTCAAAGGCATTTTGGTTTTTTAAAGCTAACAGTTTATACAACACAGATTAATATATGATGGATCATCCTAACAGAGTTTATTTTTCTGAGTTAAAAAAAGATTCAAGATTTATATAATTTATTGGCATTAATACCAAAGAGGATTAATCAGGATAATAGCTTTTTTAAAATGCAAAGTTAAATGATGAGCTGGTTTCATGGTTTGAAAATAAAATTAAATTCTATGTTCCTCTTAAGAGAATCATGGCAAGGGGATTGGAGGACCAGTGGGTGGGAGGGAGAGGGCTTGTGAGATGTTGGGCCCAGGAGAGCAGGTGGATCTAGGAAGAACCTGAGGGGATCAGGGCCATGCACCCCCATTTAAGAAATTGGAGAGGCCCCAGCTGGGTGCCAGCTCTGAGCGGACCGACCTGCTGCCTGCTGTGGCCAGGCTGGAATTGGAACCCAAAGCTAGACCCCAGCAATGGTCACATGTGGAGAGGAGAGGCTGTTGGAGCATCAACCTCCAGAGGCCTTGAGCAAGGGGCCCCAATGAGGGCAGAAGGAGTTCTGCTGCGGGGTCCTGGAGGCCTTGCGGAAAAGCCATGATGGCCTTAGACCAAATTCCTCCCCACACACACCCCAGGAAATTGAGGCTGAGCCGTGGCTTGGAGAGCCATGCTTCCGGCTTCCTTCTGCGGCATTGGGAACCCGGGGAGCCGAGGGCAAGGGAGGGAGGGAGTGGGTGCAGGAAGCAGGGGCAGTAGGCACAGAGTCTGTGATTTTAGGATGTGGGGGCTCCAAAGGAAGGATGGAGTTGGTGATTCAGGCAAGAGCCCACGGGAACGGCAGGAGGAAGTCTGTGGGCAGAGCAAAGGACTCAGAGCAGACAGAGGATTGAAGCAGTCCCCAAACTGGGGCAGAACTGAGGGGTCAGTGGCCTGCCCGGAGTGCTGGGTTCTGAGCCTGGAATGCCACCACTTGCTCACATTAGTCTCATGTTTCCAATAGGAAAGTGGGAGTTGGAGAGGTGGCTTGCCCAGGTGACTGCAGGGGAGCCGTGAAGCCCACCTTGGCCAGCCCTCCTCCTCAGTGCTCATCAAGGTTTTGGTGTTTCCATGACCTCTGACGACCCCTTCACACCACACTGTCGCCGACATCATGCCCACCATGGCTACCACTGTGACCTCCTCCATCGCTGCCCACCACACCACAATTACACTTGCCAACATGAGACTTCCTGCTGGATGCTGCAGGCTCCGGCTTTAGGGGTCGCCTGCTGTGAGGACAGGAGAAGAGCAACACAGACCAGCACTGGGGGCCCGGCCTGGGGCTGGTGGCCGGTGGCCTGTCAGGGCTGCGCTGTACAGATCAGGAGCGGGGGTGCCCTCTGTCCAACTCCATGGGGCTCCCCAGCCCTATCCCCGCCCCCTCCACCATTCATCATCTCCCAGCTGGGAACATGAAGCAGATTTTTTTCCACGGAAAATCCTTAAGGAAGAGAGTGTGAGCAAGGGATTAGGGGCTGGCTGGGATCCAGTCACTCCTGGTCCTCTTGGCTTCCCCACAGGGACATGATCCCCATCAGTGCTCTTCCTGGGCATGAGCGGGGTGGGCAACCCGGGGTGCAGCCTGGCCCTGATGTCCGCTGGCCCACAGCCCCAACCCAGTCTGGATTGCTGGAGGTCTGAGGTATAGAGGGAGCCAGGCAGGGCAGGCTGGGGAGCCTGGAGAACGTTTCCATGCCGAGCAGCTGCTGTGAGCCCTGCCAATTCCCCTCTCACTAATCCCAGGATTAGAGAAACAGAGTCCGGGAATACAGGAGCCCAACTCAGCCAGTGGTGCAGGGAGCAGCCGAGTGCAGCTGGGCTGTGGTCCCTGCCCAGGGTCCTCGGTCAGAGCAGGACACAGCACCCAGGGCCCAGGGCCCAGCAGTGAGGAAGGGCCCTCTCCTTACCCCCACGCAGCACCCCTGGCATCTTGAGCCCGGGGAAGTCATGAGACTCCATGGAGAGTGGGCAGGCTTCAAACCTGTGAGAGCAGCCATGACTGTCCCACTGTGGTGTCCCTGGTAGATGCATTGAGTCACCCCAAGGGCCACATCCAGCGCTGCATGAGGGTGATCACAGGTGAAGCGAGCGCAGCATCTGCTGCCTTACCCTGCATCCTGTGCCTCTATCTAAGCCTGTGAGCCCGGGCCCCTGGCTCCATCTTCCATCCTCTTTGGGGACAGATAGGGCTGCCTCACCCGTTTTTTGCCACACCTTTTGGTCCCCTCCTCCTAAACTACTTTCTCCTGCACTGTCCTTGCTCAGGTGCCTTCTATGGCTTCTGCTGGGCACTCCAGACCCCTGTCACTGAGTCCTGACTCGGCCCTGGTTGACCCCACTTCCCACATGTCCCCACATGGCCTCCTCTTGCCTCCTCCCTAGACTTCCAAGCAGCTGGCCCATCCATCTCCCTCCCAGCGGATGTAACAAGTCACAAACAAACCCAATCTCCAGCTGTGGCTGAGAGGAGCCCAATCAATAATGGCCCTAACATGGTTACGGCAGACTGGCTTGGGAAAGAAGCAGGTAATCGAATCTGCCCCTCCGGGCACCATCTGTCTCCACTGCGCCCGCTCCGTGCCACCTGCTTCCAGGTGGCCAGGCAAGAGGTCTCGGTCACAGGGCCCTTCCAGGACAGGGAGTGTGGGTCCTCTGGGGACAAGGAGACGTTCTCAGAAGGACGAGAGGGAGGACGGGGCCAAGGTCAGGAGGGCGTGAAGACAAGAGCAACGCCCACCCTCACATGCACGTGAGCAAGAGTGGAGGCTCAGAGGCAGCCACTAGGGCTCCCTGTCCCCCTGATGCGCACCTGCGGGTGGAGGGTCCTCAGCCCCATCCTGTCCCTTGGGGTACAGTGCCAATGGGAGGAGCAGTGGCAGCTGCGGTGGCGCACATGCTAAGAGAGCTGTGGTCCAACGTGCACATTTTCAGCAGTGACCGCCCACCATGATTAACCGTCACCCACAGCTCTCAAGGCTACACCATGTTGCAGAATGTGGGTAGCATTAGTCATTCCTCTACTGCTGGGGACTTCCTTTTTCCTGGCCTCAGAGGCTCAACCCAGTAGTGCTTGTTTTCCTCACAGAGGATAGGGAGCCAAGGCTGGGCCTTTATGTCCGTGCTGTTGTCTGTGGCCCCGATTTCCTCTAGCTTTCCATCCCCCTAACCCCAGCATATGGCTTTCCCCCCTCATGCTCATAAGATGGCTGCTAGGCCTCCAGTCATCACAAGCACATTCTAGAAGAAAAAGAGCAGAGCATGGTGCCAGCTGGAAATTCCCTCCTTTAAATCAGGAACACCACCAGTTGATATTCATTGACGTCTGATTGCCAGACTCATGTGCCAAAGCCCACCCTAGTTGCCAAGGAGCCAGGAGAGCGGGGCTTTTTCTGTGCACGCTGTTGCCTGAAGAATTAGGATTGCAGTGGGCCTGATGCTGTCTGTGACCCATGATCACCTTTGTCCCACAAAATGACAGACAGCATGGGGCCTGGGTGTCTCAGTCTGGATCCATGGCCTGAGATACTCACATAGGTGAGCTGGAGACTTGGCCAGAGTTGCTGAGAAGATTTAAACTAGAGTCACCAGGAGGCGGCAAAGGGCTCTCCAGCCTTAGAGACAGGGAGGGAGAGGCTGCAGCCCCAGCCAGGTTATCATCCAAGGCTGATTTCTTGGAAAAAGCAGTATGAATAGGAGTCTTGGGCTGACACTTCACTCTGCCTCTCATGTGTGACTAGGAGCAGATTCCTAAACTTTCTGAGCCTCAGATTCCTCTACTATAAAATGAGAAGAAGATAAACGGAGTGTGGTGATGCATGCTTATAACCCAGCACTCCGGGAGGCTGAGGCAGGAAGATTGAAAATTCTACCCCAGCCCGGACAACTTAGTAGCTTAACGAGATCCTGTCTTAAAATAAAAAATAAAAAAGGCTAGGGATGCACCTCAGTGCGAAGGCCATGGGTTTGATCCCCAGTACCGGAAATTAATTAGTATCAAATGGGCAAAAACTAGCTTCCAATTATTTAGTGATGAACACAAGTCTGGGGCTATGTGATCATTTGCATGAAGTACTTCGTTGAATTCTGACCACATCCCTGTGGGTTGGTGTCGGTCATCTCCCCAGTTTTACAGGTGCAGGGTCCACGGGACAGAGGGCTGTTGGCGGGACAGAGCCTGGGAAGTGCAGTGAGCACTCTGAGAACTGTACTGTGCTGCATGCGAAGCCCTCACTGAACAGTCCGCCAGGCTCTGCACCGAAGGTGAAGGGCAACGCCAAGGTCATCTCCATATTCCCAGCCTTCTCTCTGGTGCCCACTGTCCCCCAGGGTCCCGTGGGGGCTGCGTCAGACCAAATACAGTTGCCCACCTGCGGATATGGAGTGGCATGGGAGAGGGGTGTGTCAGGGAGGGGAGGAGTGGCTGCACAGGTGCGAGAGTGGGGTTGTGCCGCTCTCACCAAGGACACTGCACCCACCTGAAGGAGAGGAGAGTGAGAGGGTGCTGAGCTGAGCGGGGCTGCGCCTGGGCCCCTCGGCACTGCTGGGCCCAGCAGAGCCCGAGGGCTGCTGCAGGAAGTCAACTAGGGAGGACACCAGCCGGGGCCTGGGGGGAGGGCGGGGCTGGGGATACAGGAGGCACCGATACAGGAGTGTGCAAGGATTGCTCCCTGAGTGGACAGAGTGTGGGAGAGGAGGGAGGGAGGACGCTTTGGGGGTGGGGCAGAGGGTGGGGGAGGCAGGTGTGCGAAGGAAAGTCAGGCCTCAGAGTGGGACTTGCTCGGGGTTTTTGTTCTGTTTTTTGTTTTGTTCTGCAGTCCTGGATATTGAACCCAAGGCCTTCACACTGAGCCACATCCCCGGCCCTTTTTATTTTTCATTTTGAAATAGAGTCTAAGTTGCCCAGGCTGGCCTTGAACTTGCAATCCCCGGCCTCAGCCTCCCAAGGAGCTGGGATCACAGGCACGTGTCACCATGCCCAGTGGTACATGCTGATTTTTATATTCCCTTTAGATACTGGGGTAGAGGTGTGAAGCAGGCCATGTTATTATCCTGCCTAGAGTTCCTGAGATATAAAATAAAGGGTCAATGGCAGTGACCAGTATTTAAGGTACTGACAGCAAGTTGCTCACTCAGGGAAAAGTATAGATGAGAAGGAGAAGATACGCAAGGGCTGAGCTGTGGGGTTTAAAAGCACAAAACAGAGGAAGAATCTTGATATCTAATGATGGGTTGGTTAAATAAACTATGATGCATTCATGCGCTGGGTGAGCCAGCAGCTGCCCACACCCATGTTTTGATGGCCGCTGAACACCTATGGACAGGTTGTGTCGTAATCTCTTAGTAAGTGAAAGCAAGCAGGTTATGAATTGTTCGATCAGTGAGGTCCCTGCATCAGCGCATTAGAGGCATGGAAACTGCTTCAGGTATTTCAAGCAGAAAGGGGTTTAGTGCAGGGGGCTGGATATTTGCAGAGCTGGGAAAAGGCCAGCCTGGGGTGTGGATAGCTATCTGAGCGCAGAAAATACTTGGAGATGTCCGCAAACCCTGGGAGAGGGGGCTGGAGCCCACACATCCACTTGCAGCTGCCCAGGCAAACGGCACTGAACGGTGCTTCTCTTCCATCTAAGCCTGCGGATGTGCCTTTCCTGGCTGGCAGGGATCCGGGCTCTGTAGTTCTCTGGCTTCCAGCCCCGACCAGGGAGGGTACCACAGCACAGAGCAGACCAAGGGAGGGAAATGACACAGGGTTGCCAGCAGACAGCACTGCACACGTTTACAAATATTTCCTTACAAAGATAATGAGCCTGGAGAGCAGATTGAATGTATAAACATGGTGGTAGCCAAATAACGCCCCTCCTCCCACAAAGATGTCCACGCCCCAGTGCCAGGAACGCACCAATGAGTTCTGTTACCAGGCAAAGGGGACTTTGGCAGAGATGATTTAGGTTGCAGCCCTTAACGTCAATCGGGGGTCTTTCCTGGGCCACCCCCCAGGCCGACCTGACCTCATCTCCAGAGACCCTAAGTTTTTTGCTCTCTGACACACACACACACACACACACACACACACACACACACACGCCGCCATGTCTCCTCAGTCTTCCTCTCCTGATGGATCCTGCTCTGCTTCTGGCATGCTTTGGAAAGGGTACCTCCAAGCCCAGGGTCCCTGGTCCCAGGAGGAGAGAGTAGGGCCTCTGGTCTCTCCATGAGGCCAACACCGGGGTGTCTGCCCACAGCGGGAGGCTTTTCTGGGGAAATCAGATTGTTTTCTCACCAACCAGTCACCTCACCCTCTTGGCCCCGTCTCCTGCAGCACATCTGGGATGCGTTTACTAGAAGTTTCCCCCAAGGCATGGGCCTGGTGCAGAAATTGAGAAGGCTGGAAATGAGTAAGACTCATGCCAGGGCACTAAACCGGGCCCACCAGTGGCACCTACTGCTCCACAGGAAGCCACATCAGTCAGGAATCTGCCGAGTATCGCAAGCCTGTTCCAGGGAAAGCCCTCCTGGCTGTGGCTGTGTCGGGGGAGGTGGCACAGATGCTCTGGGCTCCCTCCGCGCCCTGCTGCACACCTTCCTGTTCCTGGGATCCAGTCTTCCTCATCCGAGTCCAGAGCCAACCCCTGGGGCCCGTCTTACCTTTCCTGTCCAAATCCCCATCCTGAGTGCCCACGCAGGGTCCTGAACCCCCAAAGCTGTTGTCCTGGCTCTTGCCTTTCTGCCTGAGTCCCAGTTGGATGGCAGAGGCCCTGTCCTGCTGGCCAGACATCTCCGGCCACGGAGAAACAAGGTGAGCTCCAGATGTCCCCATGTGGATGCACCAAAAGCAGCAGGAAACACCTCGAGAATCCTTCAGTGGTGGCACACACCTGTAATCCCACAGTCCTGGGAGGCTGAGACAAGAGATTTGCAAGTTCAACTCAGCAATGTAGCAAGATCCTGTCTCAAAATTAGAAAATAAAAAAGGCTGGGGATGTAGCTCAGTGCAGAGGTCCTGGTTTCAATTCCCAGTATGGCAAAAAAAAAAAAAGAATCCTTTAATGGTCAAAGTACAGCCTGCATCCTGGGTCAGGAACCAGGAGCCCGTCTCTTTCCTCTGTTGGCTGCCTGTCTGCGACCAACCACACTCCCCCTCACTCTGTGTGGGACTCAGTTTACCCAACATCTGTGTCCTCTTAGTCTTCTCTGGTGAGAAAAGAGGAGGAAGGTGTCACCTCCTCAGGTAACAGAAACATGGCTGTTAAGTGGCTGCCCCACCTCACAGCCCGGGGACTTCAGGGTAACAGGGGTCTGTGCTTGGGTCTGTGCTGAGGTCTGGCTCCCATTCCCCTGTGGATGACCGCTGTGGGCAGGACAGGCACTCAGAGAAGATACTCTCTGGCCACCTGGCCGTGGCCCACCCCTCACACAGGTGCCCTCTGCCACCACCAGCCCCTGCACCTGCCATGGCCACCCTGGAAAATTCCCTCCTCCCTGCTGCCACCTCGGCCATAGAGCCCTGATGCTGCCACCTCCCTTCCCGGCAAGGACCAGCCACCTGCACCCGGTGAGACCCAAGGCTCCAGTCATCCTCCTCCCAGACTGGGCTCAAGGTCACCTTGAGGTCGGCTCTTCAGTGGACAAGTAGAAAGGCCCAGTTTTTAGGCCTGCATCCCTGTCCTGGTGCCCCCACTTCTAGGAGGAGGTCTCTGAGGAGGTCTGGACAGCTGTCCCCTCACCGCCTGTGAGTCCAAGGCTTAGCCCCAGCCCATGGTGCTACTGAGGTGTGGCCTTAAAGGGGACGCTGGCCCCTTCCCCTCTCCCTGTTTCCAGCCCCTGAGAGGTGAGCTGGCACCTCCACCACACGTTCCTGTACTGAGGTGGCCCAAAGGCGTGGGGCCAGGTGGCATGGACGACCGTCTCTGAAGCCATAGCCAAAGGAAACCTTCCCTCCTTCCAGGCTGATTATCTCGGGCCTTTTGTCACCATGACGGGATGCTGCCTACACAGGAAGTGAGACCGGATCGGGACTGCATTAGCGAGAGACTCGTCAGGACTGAGGAGGCCCTCACAGAAGGGTGAGAAAGCTGAACTGAGGGAAACCAACCACCGCCTGCTGATTAATATGGAAAATAAAGGCATAGATTTTCCCCAACGTGTTTAGTGGGGAAACTCTGAAGTAATCCTATTAAAGTCAATATTCACTGTCACCATGAACTACCACCACCGTATTGAACCTTGCTGTGGAATTTTTACTCAAATCCAATTAGATAAGAGGATAAAATAAGAAGTATACATATTGTAGAAAGCAAAGTTATTATCATGGGATGATATTATTCTCTTTTGTTTTTAGAATTTTTTGATTTGGTTTGGTTTTTTGGTTTTTTGTTGTTTTTTGGGGGGGTTTTTTGGTACTGGGGATCAAACTCAGCACCTTGCACTTCCAAGGCAGGTGACAGCACCACTGAGCTAAATCCCCAGCCCCGGTTTTGTTTTTTGAGACAGGGTTTCAGGCTGACCTTGAACTCACGGTGAAATCCTCCAGCCTCAGCCTCCTGAGTGCTGGGATCACAGGCATACATCACTGTGCATGGTGGGATGATTTTATTCTATACTTGAATATTCCAAGACAATCAGCTAAAGAACTTTTAGCATTAATCCTAGAATTTAGCAAAGCAGCTAGTTTAAAAACAAGATTTCCTAAATACGAAAAGTAGTAATAATTGAAGAATATATTTAAAAGGTCCTATTCATGAAAACAAAAACAAAACTCATTTTTAAATGTGCAGACAGATGTGGAAATAGCTATAAAACCCAAATGGGGAGCTTAAAGATTGACTTCAATAAACAGAGACTGTTAATAATATTGTGAGCATATCAGTATCACCATAATTAAACTATAAATTCAATAGCCTTCTGTATAAAATCTCAGTGGCTTTTTCTGGGATAACTCGACAAAGTCACTTCAAATTCATCTGGGAAAATAATATAAAAGAATATCCAGAAATTTCTGGGATGAAAAAAAAAGTAAAATAACAAAGCAGGAGTGACCCTATAAAGGATTCTTCACAATATTACACAGCTACAGTAATCGAAGGAGCATGGGACCACTACCCGCAGACAGCTCAGTTTTAAAGAATAAAGACATTGATCTTAAAGAGACCCAAATAAACATGAGAACTCAATTCAATAAACTGAGTCACCGGCCAGATATTTGGATCAAAAGTAAATAAATCTGGATTCTCTACCTCACTCCTACACTGAAATAAATTCCAACAGGATCAAAGATTTAAAGTAAGAAAAACATTTGAAAACTAAAACCATAAAAGCACCAGGGGAAAAAAAGCTATGTGTAAATGTTCTTATGATTCTGGAGTAACAACTTTCTTAGTCATGAAACAAAACAGAAGATCAATAATGTAACTACAAAGACATTAAAGGAAGATCTCCAGAAACAAAATCAAAGACCAGAGTAAGAGAAAAATACCTGTAAGGTGGATGAGAGTGAGCTGATTTGCCTAATTTTAAATGGTCATATTTTTCAAACAATAAAGAAAAGACCAATGATTGAATGGAAAAATATAAGCAAAGAATGTAAAGGCATCAACAAAAAACACAACCAGCTAATAAAAATACACACAATGTTCAGTCTCACTAATAATTTTAGATGCAAGTTAAAACAAGATGTAATGTTTGCTTATCAACTTGGCAAAGAGTAGGAAGGTTTATAACAACAGGCCGCCTCTCACCGAGATAATGGGAGGAAAATTAATGCCCACTGAGCAGCAATTAGCCCTATCTACTTACTACATTTTCAATGCCCATACCCTGGGACTTACCAGTTTAACATCTAGGATTTTATCTTACAAAACCATTTATGTAAATCCCCAAGGATATATGTATGTACAAAGATGTTCATTCCAGCATTATCTATGTTTTTTTTAGCAGAAAAGGAAAACAAGTTTCATTTATAGGGGATTAAATTATGGACCATTCATAGAGTAAACTGCTGTGCTGTTATAAAAAGAATAAGGAAGCCGGTGTGGTGGTGCATGCCTGTAATCCCAGCACTTAGAAGGCTGAGGCAGAAGGATCACTGTGAGTTCGAGGCCAGCCTGGGCTACACAGTGAGTTTGAGGCCAGCCTGAGCTACATAACAAGACCCTGTCTCCAAAACAGAAAACCAAAAAGAAAGAAAGAAAGAGAGAAAAAGAAAAAAAGAATTAGGAAACTTTCTGTCTATACTATTGTGGACAGATGGCTGGAGTAGGTGAACAAACAAGTTTCTGAATTTACATATCATATGACTTACATTTGTAAAACAAAATTTCAAGGAATGTGACTTAATCATGCCTTTTCCCCGCCTCCACTCCTCAGAAATCTCAGAAGAAGCTTAAAATACAAAATAGCAGTAAAGAAAGGCAGATATCACTTTCCTGCTCCATCAGAGAGCCCAGGGGGCAGGACAGAGGCCCAGGGCTGCATCCCCTCAGCCGTCCACCTGTCACCCACCTGGGCCACACCCCCTCTGCCCGGGTGCCACAGCCAGGTGCTCTGCGTAGAAGCACCCACCCTCAAGTGCTTCGAGGGCACGGAGACAGGCAGGGGAAGAGGTGACCGCGCCCAGGTCGGAGGACTCCCGGATGATGGCGTGGAGGGGAGCCAGGATTGCGACAGCTGGCAAGTGGGTTTGTGGTGGGCAGCAGCCTGCGGTGGGAGGGGCCAGGAGGGGAGGTTTATGGGAAGCACAGTGGGCAGAATTAGCCTGCCTTCGGGCACCAGCAGCCTGGGGGAGGGGACCCTCTCCCCTTGCCTACTCCCCCAGGTCATCCCAGGCACAACTGGCCCCTCCAGGCTTTCACTCACTTCCTGTGGTTTTCTTTTCCCCAGGTAGTTCCTGACTCACAGGCTCCTCTCCTTCCTGTCCCTCTGTGACTCAGAAGCAAGGTGACCCTCCTGTCTCAGCCTCTCTGGCCCTGACACTGCGGCCCAGCTTCAGGGACACTGGGTCCAAAGCTTACCTTAGTGGATCCTTCTGAGTCCCCCCAGCAACTTGAAAGAGGGAGGCAACGGTGCCCAGACTCCCAACTCCAGCCCTGCCCCATCCAGAACCCTAACCCTGCTCAGCATCCTGCACACCAACAAACCCCCAAGGGTTAAACATAAACCTTCCTCCAGTAAGGGTCTTGCAATTAAATCGGAGCTAATCTCACTTCCCGGAGTGCTAGCTGCAGGGCCTGCAGGGTAAACATAGCAGTGGGGTCTCCGCCCGGGATGCCCTTCTCCACAGCCCAAGGACTAGGCACAGCCTCTCCCTCCCCAAGCAGGCAAGGAAGCCTCAATGGCCCTAACAACAGTTGAGAAAGAAATGAACATGTAGCCTAATCCTGACTAATGAGAAGTGGGGGCAAGTTTTCTGGGTTTACCTCAAGGAAAAGTTTTCTTAATCTTAAAAATAGCCCCAAAGAAAAAGATCGCACCTCTTCAGCCTCTAAACATATGTCTGGATGTGATGTCTGGAACCTCCGCAGCTCTCTTATAACCATGAGGGCAGCTATTGCACTTGAGGAACAAACCAATACCCTGAAGAGAGTGGAGCAAAAAGACAGATGGGACTTGAGTCTGAAAATGTAAATCCACTCAGTTCCCCTCCCAGCAGTCATCATACCTCAGGCTTTGTTTATGAAATAAAAACTCCCTGAATTGTCTGAACCATTTTGAATTTGGGTTTCTGTTACTCACAGCCCACAGTTGCTCATGATACAGCTGGGCATTTGAGAACCAGATGAGTAGTTACGGACTAAGTAGGGGGTCAGGTCATCTTTTCCTCCTCCCCTCCATTCTCATCCCTGGCCAGCTCCTTCTCTCTTCCCTGTCTCCCTCTGGGGATGACACTCAAGCCTCACTGGGTACTCCTCCTGCCCCAGAACTGACTCTGACATGGTTCTCAAAGACTCCTGTTCCCATGGCCCTGGTGGCCCCTGCTGTCCCTGCTGCCTTGGCCAGGGGCTGGCCGCCTGGGACCCTGGCTTTGCAGATGCTGCTTCTCTGCCTGAATCCCCCTTCCCAGACTCCAAGTCCTGTCTTCCACCAGAAACCAGTGTAGGCACAAGTGGAGGAAGCAGCCAGTCCCTGGGGGCCCAGCAGGAGACTGGCGCTAAATGCGCTCTCCTAGGGGGCTGTGAAGGAAGAGCCCTGCTTGGAGACTGCAGTGGCCTCTCTGATGTCATCACAGGGGAGCTGGGCCAAGTCACCCACTACCACAGGGCCTCAGTAGGCAAGAGGGGACCCTTCGGCTTTTCTCTGAGGTGTGCTCTCCAGTCATGGACCAGCTAGGCCTTTCCCATCTCTGTCCCCAGTGCCAGGCCCAGGACAGCACAGGGTGGGTGCCTGCAACATGTTTAGGGCATGTTAAAGAGAGGGACTCTGTGCACCAAGATCCCAGGCCGCAGACAGGCTGGGCCAGGGACAGGGGAGGGGAGCTGCTGGAGGCCACAGAGATGGCCAAGGAACTTTCTTGGGGCTTGGGGGTGGCCGAGCCCCCAGGGTGGCCAGGGCTGGGGCTTGAGTCCCCACGGGATCCGGGCACAGGAAGCAGAGATAACCCCTCCACCCACCCTGCAAGGCAGAGCGAAGCCTCAGCCATTCCCCAGCCTGGCATGCATGGCTGGCAAGCGAAGAATCGGGAAGCTGGGAGTTTCCATGAGTGAGTCTTTCCATCCTCAAACCAAAGCCTCTGTCCTCAGCCCAGCAACAAAACGACCACTTCCTCTTCAGAGTGGCCCAGCCTGGGAAGGCCCTGGGAAAAGCCCAGGGTGTCCGCACTTCTGCACAGGGTCAGCCTGGGGTCCCCTGCCTGCTTCATTAGGGTCACCCCAAGCATGCTTTCCCTTCCGGGGCTGAGTTCCTCAAGTAGGAAACAGGAGCCCTAATTCAGACACGGGTATGGGTGGCTGCCTGGCTGGCCCAGTATTCACTCTGAAGGCTGACACCAGAAGAGGCTTCAGTGACAGCGCCAGTGGGGCACCCATGGGCCTAGTAACACCCAACACCTGGTCCTTGAGGGAGCAAGTGGTCCCCTTGGGTTTCACCCTGTGCTTCAGCAGTCCTCTTCCCAGTTCCCTATGTGAGACGTGGTCAACTGAATGCACTCTAGGTTTCTTCCTGTGGCCCATGACCCACACTTCTCCCTCAGGGCCCTGGCGAGTCCTGGGAGGCAGCGGTAAGCGACCAGCTTCCAGCTCTCCCCTAGTGAAAGCCTAATCTCCAAGCAAGGATTTCTGAGGAGGGCTGTTTAGCTCCAGGGGCTCCTCCTTCGGGCCAGGACGTCTGCGTACAGGGCTACGAGAGGGCTGAGCGGGTAGCAAACAAGGCACTTCACCTGGAAAGTGTCCCTCCAACGACAGTCCCCACCTCTGGTACGGTGTAGATTTCATCCACCTGGGGCCAAGAAAACTGTCACTGTCCTGCCCAGTAGGGCTGGCAGGTCCAGCAGCTCTCCTCGCCCCCGGGCCTGCTACCTGGAATTCTGTCAACTGCTGCATGAGCTCTTCTTGCTCTTTGCTGTTGGTGAGCGGGGGCAGGATGTTCAAGAAGACTTTGAGGAGGTCCAGACTCTCCCCAGACACGCTGGACAGCGTGAAGATGGGGGTGACACTGCACGGGAAGGCACAGAAGGGGCAGGGGAGGGAAGGCTGGCAGGAAATAGAGGCCAGGCCCCACATGGAGAGGGGAGCTTTTCTCAGGGAAGCCAAGGGAAACAGCAACATCTCCAGGGTCCCCAGCGTCAGGAAATCTCCAGGTAGGCTTGGGATGGGGTCAAAAGCCCTTCACAGGAACTCCTGAAGTCCCAAGCTGGAAAGGCCGCAGAACTGGGTCATAGCTGGCCTGGCCCCGGAGGGGTCCCCCTGCTCCTGGGCCCCAGGCAACCTCCCCTGTGGGTCAGGGCTTCCTCCCCACTGTAGGGTGTGGGACAAGTCTGGAGGCCTCTCCATGCCAGACTGGAAGTTCCTCGGCTCTCCCTGGCCACACGATGAAGGGCCAGGGCGGCCTTAGTGGTGGGGTAGGACTTGGAGGCTGAGGAAGGGGCACATGCAGGGTAAGAGCTGAGGGCCAGGGAAAGAGTAGGGCTGAGGCTGGACACTAAGAGGTGAGCGGATCCTCAGTTGGCCGGCACTGGGGGCGTGGCAGCTAACCAGCACTCCAGCCCAAGGTCAAGTTCAATGACCTTATGGACTTGAACTCATAGAATTCTCAGGACAAAATTACCATGGCAGCGCACCCAGTCACAGATAGGGAAACTGAGCCCCAGAGAGGTTGCCTGACCTACCCAACTTCATTCCCCTGGAAAGTGGCTGAACCAGGATTCGAACCTGGCATAATGTGGCTTGAGCTGAGGGCTGTTCATGGCAGGACCAAAGAGAGCCAAGGTCAGGAGCCCAGATCAGGAGGACACCCCTGGCTAGAAGGCCTTGCCCTTTCAGGGGGGGGCCTCTGCCAGGGAGGAGGAGCAGCTCCCCCAGTCGCTCCCTCTCCTTGGGCTGGGTTGGCCAGGGCCCAGGGGCTGTGCCTGCAATGACAGGGGCCTGAGCCAATGGCGGGGCCACAGGGAACCCCTCCCTCAAGTTTCTATTATCTCAGGAGAAAGCAAGGAGGGAAGAGGAACTGGCTGGAGAGCAGACTGAGCCAGTCACCCTCTGTCCCGAGGGAAACCAGGCCAGGCCACGGCCGAGAACAGTGGAGCTTGGGCCCACAGCCCCCACCTCCAGCTCCCTGCTGGGGTCCTGTTGACCCCTCCCCTGGCACCCACAGGGTCCCCCATGCCCCGTCTGGGTGGTGAGGTGGGGGTGCCAGGTCTTTCCCAGCTCTTGCAGGAGGAGGAGGTCCTCAGAGATGGTGCTGCCTCTTCCACCCTGGCCTCAAGGCTGGATGGGAGGGGGTGGTCCTGGGCACACACTCACACTCATGCGTGCCCATGTACACCACCTGTGTGTGCACACTGGCACGCTCATTTGCACACTCAAACACACACTCTTGTATACACCCTGAGGCCACACACACACACACACTCCCGAAGGGCCCCAAGGAGTTCGGCCCGGCTGGAAGCTGCCAAGGGCTGGGCAGAAGCCTGAGCCAGGCAGGGAGCCCAGGAGGCAGGGCTGGGGCACCACTGTCCCCTGCCACCTCCAGCTAAGCAGCCCCCATGCTGCATTGTCTGGGCACCTTGGGCATGGCTCCAAACTTGGGGGTGGCCCTGCCCTCCCCTCAGGCTGGCCTTTGGTGAGAGCAGTCTGTGTCCCTCTCAAACCAGGGAGCCTCCTCCCCTCTCCCTGCCACTGCCACCATCACAATGGCTGGCCCCAGCCAGAGAAAGGGACCAGCCATGCCCCAGAGCCCGGCCTCCTTTAAGGAGACCTGGACCATACCCCCTGTATCAGAAGGCCTCTGTGCTGCCTCCATGGTGGCTCTTCCCAGGCCTACAGCTGAGCCAAAGAGGATTCTTCAAGCCACAAACTGGGCCCCATGCAGTCCTTGCTGGAGCCCTCGAGAGTTTCTGGAGCCCTGTGGGGTTTCCTTGGGCACCCCGAGGACCTGCGCTCCACCTCATCTCCACTGCCCTTTTGTGATGCTCTTCACCCACAGAAAGGGCCCCCCAACCCTGGCCATCCTGGGGCTTCCTCTCCTCCCACCTACTCCTGTCTTGCAGGCCTCAATCCCCCCTGGAAGCTGGCAGTGTGCGGGTGACCAGCCAGTGTCAGCCTCCCTGTCCCTCACGAGCCCAGGAACATTTCTGTCTTCCTGTCCTGAGCTCAGACTCACATAGCCTGACACAAGGAGGTGCTGGGCAAATGGAAACAAATCAACCAACCAACCAGCAGCCAGGACTAAGGGCCCTGTGCGTGCCTTGTCCCCTCCAGCCCTCACATGTCCCCTGGTTATGGCTCATGTCTAGATGTATCCCCAGAGCCTCATGTGGTCATAGGTGGGACTTTTTCAGAGGTAACTGGATGTGGAGTGTGTGATGCTACAATTAAAGCTGTGTGACTGCTAAATCAGTCCACTGACTGGTTTGGCACCGTGCTAATCCTGGTAGCCTAGATAGAGTCTACAGGACAGAAAGAAGCTGCTAAGGTCCCTTGCTTGCTTTGCTATCTTATACTCACCATGAATTATTTCTCCTCTGCAAGGCCTGTATGCCATGCCACCCTGCCTTGGAGCCAGAAAACTATGAACTGTGAGCCAAATAAACCTTTCCCTCTTTAACTTTGGGTGTTGGGTATTTTGTCTCAGCAGAGAAAAGTAACTAAGACACCCCAACCACCTGCTGCTTCTGCACACACATTGGCCTCCAATGGAGTCCCTGCCCCCCCCATCACCTGATCCAAGCTCTCCCCCTCTAGGTCACCAACACTTCAGTCCTCATCCACAGGAGTCAGAGGACACCATGTGCATGCTGAGTGTGCCAAAGAGCCTGGCGTGATGGGGAGGGGGTCTTTGCACACTGCACACACACCAAGCTCACCAGGCCCTGAGATGAATCAGGAGCCCCTGACAAGGAGAGGACGTAAGGGCAGGGTCTGAGAAGATCATCTAGCTCCCTGGTGCCTGCAAACAGGTTTCTGGAGGCCATCGCTGTTGTGGCTGTTGACCCTGGTAGATGAAGCCTGCCATCTCCTCTCTCTGTAGGATCCCCGCTCAGCAACCTCAGTGGCCCCCTTTGCCTATGGGACAAAGACCACATATTGGTCTCGAGATCCATTTTCCAATTTGATCTCCCTGATGCTTTGTCCCCTGGTCCTTTCCGAGTGCCCCCAACCCACCCCATATTTGGCCTTCCTGCTTCTGCAGCTCCCTCCCAGAATGCTCCCAACACTACCTACCACACTTCCCCATCCTCTGAGACCAAAGCAGTTACCAGTCCCCCGAGCAGCCCTGTCCTTGTTGAGCAGAAATGCTCTCTCCCTCCCTGGGAGGATTCTGTTTACAACAAACGCCACCACGGCTGCCGGCACAGAACTGGTCCTCAAGAAATGAAAGTTATGATGACCACGCCCTGACTGACTCATTCAATCCTCATCATTCCCATTGTAGGTCTGTCAGCATCCTCTCTCCACAGCAGGGAAACCGGAAACCGAGGCACAGAGAGGCCAGGTACGGTGTCCAAGTGCGCCTCAGACCAGGGTCTGAGCCTGCTCCTGCCCCCCGGTGCGGCAGGGCAGAACATCTGCACATTCACCCACATCACCCTCTGCCTAGGGCAGGCCTGGCTCACACAGGGCTGGTTGCAGCACTCACAGCTGCGCCAGGAGCCCCTAAGGCCAGGCCTGGCGGCCAAATGATGCCACTCTTCTGATCCACAAAAGTTCCTGTGCATGGAATGCAAGACCAATGCTAAGGAGGCAGCTGCCCACTGGGACATTCCCAGCCAGTCAGTGATGACCCTGCCTGCTGCAGCCATGACAGGGTGTTGGGGACCCCAGAAAATTGACGCCTGGTGGGTGGAATGACTCTGGGATGAAGCATGGGAGACACCAGCATCTGGCCTCCCCTCAGAGAATTGGAGATCCCCCCACTCCCCTTGAAGCCCGGTACCTAGATGTCCCTGCTCTTCAGTGACCCCAGCCCTCAATGCAGGGTGCCCTCTGACAGCGTCCCCTGCCCGTGCCCAGCCTGCAGCTGGCTGGCAAGAGCCCAGGAAGGAAGCTGGGAGAGGGCCAGACACTAACTGGGGGACATAAATCAGGGCCATCCACACCAGGCGCTGAGGAGACCATGTCATCTTTTGTTCCTGCTACTTGAGCTACCCGAGCTTCATTGCTCCCTGAAAGCCCCGAGTCATATGAGTCACACAGACACCAAGACGGTGTGTGGTGGTGGGGCCACTGCTGTGTGGTTTACTGAGTGGTTTGAGGGTGGCAAGGGGTCTCAGAGAGGCGGCCAGCTGAGGAGGGCGCTGACCGCAGGAGGGCCCAGGACAAAACTGTCCTCTAGTGATCACCACCTGTGGCTCAGACACTGGGAGCCATGCGAAGCTATGGATTCTTCCCAAATCACAAGCAGCTTCAGAAGGGGGCCGAGATATGGATCTGATCATTTAACCCTGGGAAGGTTTATTGCGAGACAAGGCCGCCCTCATCTCTGACCCAGAGCCTCCCAAAAACCAGGCTGTGCTGGCTCCCCGAGGATGGGGCCACTTTCCCAAGGCCAGGTGAGATGCATTTCCCTGTAAGATTAGGGGCTCCTTGATGCATGGTCTCTCCATTAAGTCAGCTCCACCCAACACCTGGACCTGGATGGTAGGGCAGAGACCTGCGGCCACCCATCACCAGGGAGGCTGTGGGGCCCTTGTCAGTCTGAGGAGGGTTAGGGGACAGCCTGAAAGCCACAGCTCCCAGGGCACCTCCTTGTGAGCTGCCCTCCCCACCCTGCCTGCTGCCAGTGCTGGGCTGGCCTCTGATGGGTTCCAGCTGACAGCTGGGCCTCCTCCATTCTTACCCTGGGGCAGCAGTGTCCTGTAATGACCCCACCAGTTCCCCTCAGCCACTCACGCCAAGGACAGCTGGCATTGGGCTGCAGCAGGATGAGGCAAGTGGGCAGTGCCCCCTTGGGGAGAACCCAGAGCACAAGGGATGCAAGAGAGGATGTGGGGACAGTGGCTGCTTTGGCCACGTAGATGCCCAGGGTGGGGAGACAGGGCTGCCCCAATCCATGGGCCTTGGGGAAGGGATCCTGGCCTGTGGCCTGGATGGCACCCCCAATATGTGTCAGCCCACACCTCATGCAGCAGAGAGCAGAGGATACTGCAACACTGGCTGCCGGCCGGTCCGGTGTGCAGGAGGACGTGGACTCTGGTTCCAAAACACCAGCTCCTTCCTCAGCCTCATCATTACCCTGGAAGCTCCCTGCTCTTCTCCATACCCTGGGCACTGTGGGCACCTTCATTTCCTGTCCTCCTCGTTTCTGAGTTAAACAAGGAACTAAAACAGGCAGCAAGACTCAGGGGTTTTTTTATTTTTTTATTTTTTTTTTGTACCAGGGATTGAACTCGGGTCCTTCCACTTGCAAGGCAGGCAGCAGAACCGAGACTCAGTTTATTCTTTTCCATGCTCCCAGCCCCAACTTCAGCCCTGCAGCAAGAGCGGCCCAAAGCAGACTCCAAAGGTGAATGTGGTGGAGTTGAGTGCAAACCTCAGACTCTGGTAATGGCACCTGCTGCTCCTGGCTGTTTCCCTGCCCCTGGCAAAGACTCCTGCTCAGAGTGGCTGTCTCGGGCCACCTTGCCAAGGACCCGTACACCGCACACCAAGGACATGCCAGTCACAGTGGCCATGGGGCAGTGAGTGACAGAGGACAGGAGGCTTCTGTGCCCCCCTTGCTCCACCGAAAGTCTTCTGGAAGCTTAGGGCCAAGTGAGCGGGGCATGGAGGCCTGGCTGTCCACGTCCGTTTCACCTCTGCCAGGCGCCTCCCCAGACCGCAGAGACACGAAGAGCTGTAAACACATGGCCCGGGCTCCTCCACTGCACTGAAGGTTCCCAGTGACTTTGGCTCTCCCAACAGGTGTGCTTTCCTGAGGCCACAGGACAGACAGAGAGATGGTGGAGAGATGGATGGATGGACAGAAGGCTGGGGTCCCACAGCTCCTGTGCTGGCTGGGCCAGGTGTGGGTGCTATGGCTGCCACTGATCTGCTGAGTCCTGAGGAGAGGTGATAGTGACGGTTGTGGCTGTCCCTCCCCTCGGGTGAGATGCAGTGGGTGTCAAGAGTGTGTCAGCGTCCAGTGGCACCGCAGGGAGCTCCTGGAGCTGGTGACCTCCAAAAGGTAACTCTGATGAGTTAGCAGTGACATCCAGGCCCCACACATGAAAAAGCGAAGGGGGAAGTGCTGGGCGGGGGCGCTGGTGTTGCTTGCCATGGTACACACTGCATGGGGACTCACATACCTGAACGGAAAGGAACTGAGGTGCTTCCTTCTTGGGGCAGCCTGGGGCTTACCCAGCCATGGACTCCAGACACAGCTACAAAGCCCTAATGCCACTACAGATCCTGACACTACCCACCAATCACCCTAATGTTTTCAATTCCCCGAGCTGAAGTGAATGCCCAGCTCTGCCAGGGAGAGTCCTCCCCTTATGCAGGTCCTGCTCCCAACAGTGCTGGGCATGCAGTAAGCACCACATAAGCCAGCGATCCGTGGAGAATGCCGGGATTGCTCAGCGTGACCTCACTGGCCACCACTTCCCTCTCCCATGCTCGGCGCCTGCCCATTCCCGTACAGACACCTCTGCTGACACCAACTTCTGCCTCCCAAAGCTCCAGGAAGCCCCACACAATGGGACACCCTGCATCCCTGAGTCACCACCCCACCCACCCCAGGCTGCTGCACGGTGTGCTGCTCTCCGGGATTCCCAGGCTCCCACGAGGGGACCATCCTCCCGGAATGACAGCGGTCAGGGTGGGTAGTGAGCCCTTTTCCAGAGAAGAAAACCACCCCACTGGAGCCCCCACTCTGGGCTCTTCCTCTGCCACCACTGCTTCCGCTAAGGGGAAACAGATGGTGTGGTTAATCGGGGTGCTGCGGCGGGCTGTACCCTCATTAAGGCTGAGGGTGGGGACAGGAGTGATTTACTGGGTCATCAACGGCAGCATCAGGGCAGGCACCCTTTTGCCCACAGCCCAGGACATGAAGCTGCAGGCTGGGCCCTCGAGGTCAGGCTGAAGACCGAGGTGCCCCACCTCTGCCTGACTACTGGGCACCGGGCCCAGCGACTGTGCCTGGGGTGTCCAGACACTCACAGCTGGAGAAAGGAGACTTGAGCAGGGAGCAGAGACAGGGCAGGAGGCGGCAGCCACAGAGGAGGCAAAGGCGCCCAGGAAGTGTGGACAGGAGTGGCTGGGGTTGGGGAAGTCCCCAAAGGCCCAGCCCAGCCCCAAAGCCCCCACAGAGGGGTGACACCCAGCCATCCCCTCCCCAGGGACCTTGTGCCATTGAGAGGTCTGGCCTAGGAGCCAGGGTACTAGCCAGCCCTGACAGTCACCAACCATGTGAGCCTGGGCAGCTCTGTGCCTCAGTTTCCCCATCTATAAAACAGTAGCATCTGTTCTCAAGAACTGCACTCATTAGCAGCCTCAGGGCCACATCAGGCACACCGAGCCATGCATGTAGGTTAGGTAATCACTTTCCAAGGCAAGGGGCCCATGCTGGAGCCCTAGGGCACTCCTACCCAACCCTGTCACAAACCTCCTTGGCACTGTCCCCTTACCTCACCCCAAGCAATCAGAGGGAGGAGGCTCTATCCCTGCCCAGAAGGTGGGTGACAACTTAGGACAGCCATTACTACACTCTCTCCCCAGCCCCACTGAGCATCCAAGTTGAGTGTCACTGTCCCATTATACAGAGGAGAGGAGAAGGCTGAAGCCGGCATCACCCCAAGAGCAAGCAGACAGGCTGAGTCTGAGCTCAGGACTTACTGGCTCCAGAATCTGAGCTCTGGCCTCAACACAAAGTGTGACCCTTGGCCATCGATGTCACCAACACAGAGGGGCCTTTTCTAAAGCCAGATCCTCCCCAGACTTAGAGAATCAGTTTTGTGCCTGGAACCCAAGAGTCCCCTGAGATAAGAAGCCCTGGACCGGGCCCTTCTCTGACCGCACAGCCTCTCTTGCACACCATGGACCCCCTCGGAGGAGAAGAGAGGTACCATCCACCTGCACAGTCACTGTGAGCCATGGCTGAGCACCGCCTCTGTGCCCCTTCAGTCCTCAGCCCACTCGCTCTTCCCTGGAACCTGTGGCCTCAATCGGAAGTGGGGCGAGGGAGAAGAAAACTTCTTCAAAACTTGGGGTGGCCAGAGCTCAGGAGGATGGGATCCCCAGGGCCCATGGGATCCACTGCCTGTATCCACTGGGAGTGCACAGGAAATGCAGGGATCTCATGCCCTGAATGGTGCCCAGTGGTCCCATCAGCTGGGGGTGGAAGACCAGGCCTGGGAGCAGGGGAGATTTTTAGACTGCCCTCTCCACCTTCAGCACATGGGGACCTGCTGTCCCCTGGGACATCTGCCCCAGACACCCTGAATGGGACCAAGCCACCCGGACTCCTGTGCCTTGGAGCATCTGTGCTGGTCCCTGTTGGGGTGTGGAGAGGGATTGGCACACAGTACATCACACCCGGCATGGCCCTGATTGGTGGGCAGAGTGCCACCCTGTTGGTGAGCTGTCTCCCTCAAGAGCCTTCATGGGCAGGGGAGGGGCTGCCAGGGAGACAAGTGGCAGCTACCAGGAGGACACAGCCCTGGAGGACCCCTGAGCAGCCCACCTGCCCCAGGCCTCACCTTGCCCTGGCCCACCAGAGCTGGCTGCAGAGAGGGAGGAAGAGAAGGACACCAAGGCCTGGATGGATTCCAGGCTGGGCCAGCAGAAGCAAAGAATCAGGTCCAAGAGATCTATAGGCCTGAGGATCCAGCCCCTGCTCCTTCTAGATGTGGAGCCAAGTTGGGGGTGTGGGGAGGGAGGGAGAGACAGAATACTACACCATGGGCCCCCGAGCCCATCACAAACCCAGATTTACCTGGCCTCCTGAAGTCAGGTAGAGAAGAGGGAGCTCGGGGCCCGAAGGTGGGACACTTCCTGCTGCCTGGGACCTCACAGTCTCAGGGCAGACGTGGCCACTGCCTCCAGAACTCCATCCTCCCAGTCTCCTCCTTGTCCCCTGGCAGGACCGACTGTCATACTCCACCCCGTCCTAGTCCCAGTCTGCCAGACACCAGTCACTACGCCAGGGCCTTCCTAGAGCGCCGCACAGCCCGAGTCTCCACCCCAGCCCACTTAAAACAATGAATTTGGTGGACAGACAGATCCCAGTGGCCTGCAGAGAAGTTCCATCTCCCAGATGCCACCTGTACCAGAGGCCTGGGCCAAGGTCTTGGGCATGTAAACAGGAGACACAGTCAGGCATGCAAGTGGTTTCTGGTTCACAGGCACCAGGATGGACCAAACGGGTGCTGTATCGAACTGGCATTGAAATGGCATCTTCTGGACATTGTGTGCAGTGTGTGTGTGTGTGTGTGTGTGTGTGTGTGTGTGTGTGTCCAGCTGGGCATGAGCTCACCTGAGACATCAGACCCTCTCTAAATTAACTCCCTGGAATATTCTCCCAGATGCCCCTCAAATTCCCCTCCCAGCACACATTGCAGGCTGTAATTCCTTTTATTTGTGGCTGTTTGCTCGGTCTCCCCTTCCCCACCAAATGAATGAATGAATGAATGAACGATGGGATGGAAGCCTGCATCCCCACCCCACCCTTGCCCCCAGAACAGACTCTGCAGGTGCTCTGGGCCCGGGACTCTAGACCAACCCCAGAGTGATCCTGAGGCAGAAACCAAAGGAGCCTTCCCAGAAGAGGAGGGCAAGGAGTGAGGGGGCTTCCAGCCTGGCCTCTGATCTTCCTGCTCACCCTGTCTCTGCCCAGAACCCCAGGCAGAGGGCAGAGGTTACATCCGGGCCATCGCCAGCACACCCCACCACCGACTGCCAGCTGCGACTCAGGATGCATGAGCCTGTCCTCTTGGCCCGGGACCAGCAATGCTGCGTAACATCACTAACCACAGCAAGGAAGCAGCCGAGACCTCACTTACGCGCAGAGCCCCTCCCCCACCCGGCCAGCCGGCAGTGACCTCACCCTGGGGGGTCAGCGGCAGCAAGGACTGTCCTGCCCACGAGGCAGGGGCGTAACCTTGATGGCCCCACTCCTCTTTGGGAACTGGTTTCACAATGCCATCCTCTTTCCCACCAAGCAGCCTTCACCGCCTGGTGAGCTGGAGGGAGATAAGGGAAGTGCCACAGGCAGCCCCTGCCTGCCCTTCCCCTCCACGGCAGTTCGGATGCTGGGGAAAGTGGCGCCCAGTGGTGTGGCTGCTGTGGCTGGTGGCTGGCGCCAGCAGAAATCCCCAAGCCCGTCAGCAGACCCTGTCCAGACGCGTCCTCCGCTGGCCTTGGCACTGAGTCAGTGCCAAGGAGGCACCTGTGACGGGCCCCACCCAGCCTGCCTCTCTCCCAGAGCGGCCCCTCCTTGGCCGGGCCCAGTGCTGTTCCTCTCATCCAACCACAGCGAAGGCCTGGGAAAAGGAGCCCAACTGCGTGCTCTTAGGCAAATGATCCGGCCTCTTTGGGCCTCAATTTCCCCAACTGTAAAATGGGGCTAAGACCAGCTACCTGCTGGGCTGTCATGAGAATAAGTAGGTACACAGGCCCAGCTCTGCAGAGAACAGACAGCAGACAAAGGCAGCCAGGCTTGGCGCTGCGCTGCCACCCTTAACAGCTCCAGGGAGCAAATGCCAGTATCAAGAAACAGGCCTCAGCAAAGGGAGAGCACCAGGGCTGCAGGAAGCAGGGAGCCGGCAAAGCTCTCTGCACTCTCTCCTATTGCATCTAAGGGAGAAAAGGGGCCTTGTGACAAGCACTGCCTCCTGCACCCATTTTTTTCTTTCTTCTCCAAATTTTAACTGGAGGCCCATAGAATAAAACTCTATTACCCAGCTTCCCGTGCAGCTTGGTGTGTGTGTGTGTGTGTGTGTGTGTGTGTGTGTGTGTGTGTGTGTGGGTACATGGGTCAGTGGCTAAATTCTGGCCAATGGGATGTAAGAGGTGTGTGTGACTTCCAGGAAGTTCCCTCAAGGGAAGGGGCATGCCTTTGAGGTTCTCTTCCTCCTTCCACTGCCTGGAGCTCCAGCAGCCATATTGGGCAATGAGATGACCTCAGAAATGGAAATCACAACCCTTCAGATCAATAAGACAGAAGGAACCTGGGTCCCTGACAACATGTGTCATCAAATAATCTGGAATGTTTACTCCCAGGGGTCAAGTACATGAGCAGAAAATACACATGTACCTTATGTAACAGACACAGGCTTCTACTCTGGTGGACACTTCAAAATCCATGTGGCAGTGTGGGAAGGAATGGATTAGGTGCCTGGAAACGAAGGGTGGCCAGCAACAGAACATCTCTACCAGGAAAACTTCCTTTGACATGCTCAGGGGACCAGGAGAAGCCTGTTAGGAGGACTTAGCCCCAGGAGGTGCGGGGGATTGATGGATGGAAGAGGGGGGAGGAAGGAAAGAAGAAAGGAAGGTTAAATGGATGCATGGATGGATGTGTAGATGGATGGGTGGATAGACTGAAGGAAGCAAGGAGGGATAGGTCAATGTATGGAAGGAAGGAAGGAAAGGAGGGAGGAAGGAAGGAAGGACTTCCTCACCTGGATCAACATCCCAGCCCTTAGGGACCCAAAACACCAAATCACCATCAGCATCCTCTGGGCACAGGGTGGAGTAAGGGTGGGGAGCTGGCAGGGTTCAGCGGCCAAGGTGTGACCTGCCAACCTTCTGTCCAGGACTCTCCTGGAGGGACAGCTGTCAGGTCAGTCCTGAGCCCTGAGCCCTGAACCCTCCTGCTCAGTCAAGCCAGGCCCACACTGGGTCACACAGAGCTGGCATGAGGCCAGGCAGAGCCAGCACAACCTGAGAGGATGCAGAAGGGATGGTCAGGTGACCTCTGTACCATCTGCAGTAGTTTGAGATAATGCACAGAGGTGCTCATCCAAAAAGTCCTCAGAAAAAGACAGGTGTTATGTTCAGATCTAAAATGTCCGCCAAAATCTCATGTGCTCAGAGACAGGGATTTGGGAAGGGGATTAGAGACGCCATGCTCATCAGTGGATTGAGCTCTTGCTAGGTTCATATCTGAATGTGCCATTGGGAGGTGGGGCTAAGCAAGAGGAGGAGGTCACTGGGGTTGTGACCCTGGACGGTGGATTCTTGTCCCCAGCTCCTCCCTTCTCTCTCTCCTTCCTGGCCACCATGATAAGAGCCCCTCTCCTCTGCCAGGCCCTTCTACCATAACATTTCTGCCTTGGAGCCAGCCAACCATGCACTGGGTCCCCCAGAACCATGAACAACAATAAAATGTCTCCTCCTTTAAATTGCAGGTGTCGGGTGTTTTGCCCCGAGAGCAGGAAAGCTGATAGATAATAATGATGAGCAGGGACTTTAAGGAGAAAATGAGGGGCTGTTAATATCTCCCTGGTGCATTGAAGGGGAAGAAATGGCCTTATGTTAATGTCAGTGAGACTCGGGGCATTGGAGGGAGAACTTGGACGCAAGCTCCTGGTGTGGAGGGAGCTGTGAGGAGAGAGACATGGGCCAGGCTCAGTGTCCGGGTCCTGAACCCTCCCCAGGACTAGCTGCAGCCTCTAGTGCTCAGCTCTGCCAAGCTGGACTCTGGGATGAGTGTGTGAGTGTGTGTGTGTGTGTGTGTAGTTTGGAATAAAGACCAGTGAGTTTGAACCTGCTTTGGGCCAGTTACCTAACTTTTCTGTGCCTTTATCTCTCCTTCTGTTTAAAGAAAAAAAATACCAGAGGGCTCGGGAAGATTAATTCAGCGGATGCCAGCTTAGAGCCTGGCACCCAGGACAAGCTTCTCCTGCCTGGGCAAAGATTGGACTGAGAAATCTCTGTGTTCTTTTCAAGTCTAGATTCCTTGATTCCACAATCCTGTGATTCACCAATTGGGATTGTGAGACCCAAGGACGGGACACCTGTCTGCCTAGCTCTGCCCCATGGAGCCCTCGCCCAGCACCTGGACACAGTCCAGCCTGAAGCCGCCGTATTTTATTTCCACAAGCGGGCTTTCCTTGCCCATCATGTGCCCTCAGCCCCATGGGCAGCTCATGGTCACCGGTGGCCCTGGCAGCTCTTGCTGACCTCTGCCTTGTGTCCTTACCTGGAGGTGAGGTGGCACGAGCCCTCCAGCTGAGTCCTTCCTCACACCTACAGTCCCCTGACAGTGTCACATGCCGTGGCAGTTGGCAGTTGACACAGGGACCACAAATGCCAACACAAACACCATTCCTGTGGAAGGGAAAGAGCCCGTGGGAGTTATTTTTAACCTGAGGATCAGAGCCCGCAGCTCTAAGCCTGGGGACCTGGAGTGGGGGGCTCTGCAGGGAAGGGAGGTGGCAGGCCACACCTCAAGGACTCCCAAGGTCATAGGCTGCAGGGACCCCAGCCTTCCCTCATTTTGCTCCCCTCCCACTTCCCACAGGGACTGAGCCCGGTCAGGAGGAATGCAGCTGGCAGGAGCCATGGGACCCTCAGCCTAGAGATGGATCCTCTGTGGTCCCCACCTGGTGCAGCCAAGGAAACTGAGCCCTGAGACAGGGCCCAAGGTCACAGCGCTGGTCCACACCAGGCTCCTCCCCCTCGTCCACCTGTCCTCCTGGTGGACAAGGCACACATGGACATTTTCAGTGACGCTCTCTCCCAGGCTGCCCCCTCCAAGGGCTGAGCCCCTGCAACTGCACAATGAGACGCCCCCACCCAGCCCTGGCTCACCCTGCAAGCCCTTCCTGGGTGCCCAAGCAGTGCCCCCTAGAGGCCAGCAGCAGCCATGGCCAGCTCTGTTGTGGCTAGAGGCCCAGGCCAGGGCGTGCGGGCTGGGGCATGCCTGCGTGGGGGGAATGGGACCAGCTTATGCCAAAGGCCCGCAGGTGCTGAGCATGTGGCCATGGCGGGGGTGGGCAGATAATGGACCCCACAGCTCCGTCCTGGCCTTGGCCCTGTGTGCTGTGCTAGCAGCGCCTCCACGGGCCCTCACGTAGCCCACGTCCTGCCATTCCAAGTGGCCCTTATCACTGGTACGTGCCAGGAGCCCACACTGCAGTGAGGAGGGAGCTGGGGGCCTGACAGACAGGACTGCAGGGAAAGGAGGTTTCCAGGCCCCCCCCCAGCTCCCAAGGATAGATCTGGGGTGCCCTTCGCACTCTTTGACAAGCCCCCATCCCCAGAGAGACCCCAGCCCGACATGGCCAAGCCCAACTCAGCTGGACTGATGGGTTGGGGTTCAGGAGAAGGAAAGGAGAGGTCACACCTCCCTAGGGACGCTCTGGGTGTTTAGGTCATGAATACCAGATTCTATAACAGGGGGTCTTGTGCCATACCTGGGGAAACAGAGGCGCAGAGGCTGAGTCAGTTAGTCACAACTACACAGTGGGTAGGGAGCTCAGCTGCTTTCCAGTGGGTCTCATAGAATGAGACCGTGGCGACCTAAGACCGAAGACATGGAGCAAGAAACAGAGGTGAGGCAAGGAGGGCACCGAGGGTCCCCCCATCCTGGGGACGGGGCCGAGGGTTGAGCCACTGGCCCCCTGGAATCTGTGGGACTTTGCCCTGGAGTAAAGTCGCCACAGGACACAGGCGAGACCTTCTCTCCCAGGCAATCGTGTCCCCCGCCCCAGACTTGTGGGAGGGGCCCCTCGATGGCTTCCTTCAGACCCTCCAGTCTCAGGGAGCTCCCGTCAGATGAGGAGAAAGCTAGTACTGCCTCAGAGCATGCCCAAAATGATGGGGGAGATTCATTCCTGTCCCTAGACACAGCCCCCATCCTCAGGGAGCCAACTGGGGGCACAGGGGGACACGAGGCCCTGTTCTAGCTCTCGGGGTTTCGCCTGCTCCCTCCCCCCTTGCTGGTAGCTAATCCCCCCAGTGAAGGAGCCCCTCAGTTGGTCTCAGGGCCAAGTCTTCCACAGAAGTGTTCTGGGGACCTGGGAGACAGGGATGGGGACACAAGTGCCACCACATCTGGCCCAGGGTGCCTGGGCTCACAGCCCTGAGCAGCTGGGCCGCATCTGACCTCCAGACACCATGTTCTGGTCTGTGATTCACCCGGCCTCCTATGACTGCTGGAGCAGGCAAGGCCGCACACGCTCTCCCACACTGGCAAAGTCTGGCTGGGGCCAGGAGGGAGCAGGACCTTTGTTCCTCTCGGCCCTTCTGTCACCCCAGTCGCTGAGAGGGCTCCCGTCCAGCCCTGAGTCACCATGACTGATCTCCCCTGGACCTCACACTCAGGCTTCAGAGGCTCTGAGCAGGTCTGGTGAGTAGGCTGGGGGTCAGCAGAGGGGAGCTGAGGGGCACTGGGAGGGAACTTCAGAGAGCAAAGGATGGCGCCCAGGGAAAGAGACAGGAACTAGGGCGCAGGGCATTTCCTGTCAAGTGGGAGTTCCCTGAGGACAGGGCTATGACTGTATGGGGCTGAGTCTCCTCCCTCAAACCAAGGCTCTCCCAGGACAGGGTCAGCTCCTCCCTCAGACTGAATTCCACGACAAGGGCTGTGTCTACCCATCAAACTGGGTCAGAATCGGACCTCCTCTAGCATCTAACAGAGATGACTCATCCACATCATCCGGGGTTTTCAGCTGGCTGTGGGTGGGGATCCCAGTGAGGGACAACATGCTCCCAGCCCACTCCTCAGCACAGCCTGCTCCTGTCCACCCACTGCCCCTCTGGGTGGTCCCTCCCCCGGCCTCACCCGACTCTCACACAAAGTCACCCTGGGTGGCTGGGCAGTGTCCTGAAGCAGCCCAGGCCTGGTGGTAGGGATCCAGCAGAGAGCACAGGCATCTTCTGACTCCCCTGGGCCCGGCTGCCCTCAGTGGAGGCATCTGCAGCCATCTGGGCCTGGGTGTCCATGGCAGCAGCTTGGGGAAGTGGAGCAGGGTGGGGACCTGCAACCTTGAGACTAGGTCCACACAGGAAATGGGTTCGGAGCCCCATTGGCTTTTCCTTATCCTATGCAACAGTCCCTGAAGAGAGGAGAGGGAGGGAGCCTCTTACCCCAGTGACTCAGGATACACCTCCCCTCTCCCTGATCACCTTCTAGGACCAGGTTGTCCCCTCCTCTACTCCCATTGTGCCTCTTTCAGGGAAATAAAAGAAAGCAAGGGAGCTCTGAGCTGGTGAGGCCCTCCCCCAGGAAAGGAAGGACTTTGTGTACTTGTAGTGCTGGGGATGTAACAAGGGCTTTGCTCAGGACAGGCAAGCGCTCACCACCAAGATGCACCTCCAGCCCCCAAAGGAAAGACGCTGGCCCTTCTTTGCTCCAGGGACAACCCCATCCTCAGGGTGGCCAGGTAGGAGTGGGTGCCCCATGGCTGAGGGCACCCTGAGATATCAACCCCGCTGCACAGAGAGGGAGACTGGGGCCTAGAGAGTCAGGCAGATCCTGCCCCAGAGTGACCCACCGAGTGTGAGGACACCCACACTGCCTGAGTCAGGGGGCCCTTCTCCCGAGTCCCAGCTCCATCTACGGAGTTTGTGGGTTAGGGGACTGAATGGAGCAGGCCGAGCACCGGGCCTGGGCTGACCTGGGGGATCCCAAAGCCAGCAAGCTCAGTGCCTCCTCCTCTCTGGGCTCCTCTTTGGCTACAAGCCCCCCTGCTTGGCCCCTGGCAGAACCAGACTCCTGGTACCTGGACAAGGAGGGCATCCAGGGGCACGAGCAGCTTGCATAGGGCCAGAATGGGCCACCTAGAGAAGTCCCCAGAACCTGGGGCAGGTGGCCTCTCCTCCAGCTGGCAGAAGGGCAGCAGAGCCTGCTTGTTAGCTCCTGCCTCAGGAGCCCCACTTGGCCAGATCCCCCCGAACACACACACACACAGTGGCATCATCTCAAGTACTGTGTTGCCCCAGCCAGAGGTACTGGCACAGACTTATCCCGAAGAAACTCATGTCCTCCTCACAGATTTCTGTGAGGCCACTGGGCAGAGGCCTGGCGCTCCTAGGGGAGCCAGAAGGTATAGGCAGAGGCCACAGCAGAGAACAATGATATGCTAACCTAGCATGACTGTCTTCCAGGAAGTCACCCAAACCACCCTCCTATCTATCCCCAACGGCAGCCTGTGTCACCTCTCCAGGCAGCAAGTTCATTGGTCTGCAGCCCATCATGGACAGGGATGGGCCTTTCTCCTATGGGACTCTAGGACATTCTGCAGCTCAGTTCTGCAGGAAGCACTGTCCTGGAGCCCAGCCCTGGACTGCAGTGCAGGCACTCATGGAACCCATGGCTTCCTCCCTCACTCCACTCCACATGTGGTTTGGTTTGGCAGCTTTTTAAAAAAGTGTGGTAAAATACCCAGAACATAAAGTTTACTGTCTTAATCATTCCTAAGTGTACAACTCAGTGGTATCAAGCACTTTCCCATTGTTGCTCAAGCCCTTACCACCATGCATCTTCTGCTCTCTTCATCTTGCAAAACTGCAACTCTACCCACTAAACACTGCATCCTGGCAACCATGAGTCCACTCTGCCTCCATGAGTGTGACCACTCTACGTGCCTCCCGAAGGTGGACTCATCAGATATTCATTCTTCTGTGACTGGCTAATGCTGTCCTAAAGTTCACCCATATTGAAGCCTGTGTCAGAATTTCCTTTCTTTTTTCATTTTTTGTTTTGGTTTGCTTTTTTGATTGATGTGTTCTGTTTTTTGTTAGTGCTGGAGATTAAAATCAAGGTCTTCTCACTGAGCTATACCCCACACCCTTTATTTTTATTTTGTATTTTGAGACAGGGCCTTGGTAAATCTTGAAGTTGCCCAGGCTGGGCTCAAACTTTCGACCCTCCTGCTTCAGCCTCCCAGAGTACTGGGATTACAGACATGCACCACCATGCCTAGCTATGTTTTGGTTTTGTGCCACCATGCCCAGCTAGAATCTCTCTTCTTTTTAAGGCTGAAGAATATTCCATAGTATACATGGGTCATGTTCCCCATCCCATGCTGGGGATTGAACTGAGGGCTTTGCACATCCTAAGCAAGCACTCTACCCTGAACTGTGTCCCCAGCCCTGAGTAGCTTTTTACTAACTGCTCTTTTAGAAAATCAAAGTAATATATCCTCATGGTAAAAGAATCTGAAGAGTTCAGAAGCCCATAAAGTAAAAAATGAACTTGTCCCCCTCACTGAAAGCCATGTCTGGTAAATCCCTGGAGTTTTGCAGTCAGCAGGGCCGACAGGTTTATGTCCCTCTGTGACATGGCAGCACATTCCTCACAGCGCTTCTGAAGAGTCACACACAGAACGTGCAGCATCAGACAGTCTGGCCCCAGGCCTGGCTTCCTGACCCATAGTTCCAGGGGCCACAAGATATTGTAGATTCCTACCAGGCTCTGTGGGACCCTGGGGCTGCCAGAGAGCAAACCCTCATGTCTCACAGTGTCTCACCAGGGCTTTTCCGCTTTGTCAACATCAGCCACAAAGCTCAAATTCACTGCTCCAAGCCGCCATGCTTGCAGTGCATGGGACACCTGTGATGTATCTAATCAGGCCCCCATGATACACTTGGCATTGCCTCCAGGTTTTCAAGTTGGAAATAAGACTGTGATGTGCACACTTGAGACGCATATGAGACTGCATCTGATGATCTCCTAGACATGAATCCTTGAGCTACCTGTGAATCACTTCTTCTCCTGTGCATTGCCAATCCCTTCCCAGGCACAGCCGTCTTCCCCCGAGCTGTAAGGGTGCCTGTGTCCACCGCGCATGGGGGCACCCTTTTAGTTGTCGACAAACCTGGTGAGAAGAGAAGCTTCCCATTTCTTTATTTTGATCACTCAGATTCTGACTGAGTGCGAGGATTCCCACCTGATCATTAGCCATTTGTCAATCTTTCCTGTCCATATGCTTTGCCCTGTGTCCTATTAGTTTCCCTTTTCCTTTATTGTACGAGCTCATCTGTCAAATTGTTGAGAATATTTTTTAGGATATTACATTTTAATGTAGCAAATTTTCAAAATCTTTCCCTTTGTGACTCCTAGGTTTCATCATATATTTCCCCAATCTAAGAATACATACTTTTAGATTTTTTTTTTTTGCTAATGTTTTTTTCTGGTAATTTTATGGTTTCCTTTTTACATTTATGTCTTTGCTCCATCTGGGATTTATTTCAGAAATAGAGAACCAGCTTTTATTATTTTTTTTTCCTAAACAGCTAGCCAGTTATCCAATTTGATGGAATCATTCATCTTTTCTCCTCTGATCTAAAATGTCACTTTAGCGTATATTCAATTTCCATTTGTTCACGGTGTGTGTCTGAACTCAACTCTGTCCCTTTGATGTGTCTACCTTTTCTTATGCCAGGGCCCAACTATTTCATGACTGGAGCTTAATATAACATTTTCACAGCACCCGTCACCCCTTTATAATACCTCGCTTTTAGAATTTTCCAACCTCGTTCTGCATGTTTATTTCTCCAGATGAACTTTAATATAATTTGTCAAGTTCAAAAGATCTTGTTGTTTTCCACATCTTCTAACAGATGTGATTTTCTGGTCTCTCAGCTCACAGTCAAATCGTAACAGGCCAAGGAGGAGGACGAGGTAGGCTCATGGTACAGTCAGCCTGGAGCAGGCAGAAATGATGTCAGTGAAAGTGACAGCTAACAGAAAGGGAGTTAATGAAGTGATAAACTATAAAAAGTAGACACGAGAACTCTGAAAATGTAGTCATGATGGAATGGGCCTCAGATTTTCACTGTTAAAACCAGAATGGTGGGGGACACTCGTAACCACAACCCTGAGTCATAGAGACTCACATGTTCTGGAACCCCTGATTAACAAGGCCGGGAAGTGTGTAATATCCACTAGTGAGTCCTACTCCAAATATCTCTTTTTAAGGTTTCCGATATTAATGTCTGGAAAACTAGTATGAAATGGTTCATTCTTGGATGATGACATAAAGATGACATGTTACTGGTTTCTCTCCACTCAAAACCCACCTCCAGATTCCAAGGAGCCGCCAGCACTGAGATTTTAAATTCACTCCGGTGGGAACAGAGCTGTGGGCGGGCGGTGTTCCCAGCCCAAACAGTAAAAAGAAAGCTTGACCTCTCGCCCAGCATCTGCCCCAACACGTGAGGAAGCTGTCGGCAGATTCTCCTTGAATCCCCAGCACCCGGGTGGACAATGAGCTCCCATTATATAGGAAACTGAGGCTTGAGAGGTCATACAACTTGAGCATGCCCAGGTTACACAGTGTGACAAAGAGCCCTTGCCCACCTTCACCCCAACATGCCACTCCCCAGTGCCCTTACGCCACCAGTGACCCAAAAGGCAACTAGTGCTGTTCCCACAAACCTTTGCAAGGCCCTGCCACCTGCACTGCCCAATGCCCACAGCTAGGAGAGGTCTCAACCCATGCCCATAAGAGGCATGTGCAGCAGGGAGGGTGCGGTGAGGTACCAAGCTGAGCCACTTAGGGAAGGAAGGGACAGCTTCTAGGCTGCCCACCCGCCCGCCACCGAGATCAGGATTCAGGAAGTGGAGAGGGTGACCTTGGGACTCAGGAGACGTCCCCAGGATGAGGACACTGCTTGCCACAGCCTCCTCAGTTATCCCAGAGGACAGACTCAGTGCTCAACACATCACCCCTTTGCCAGCGGTGCCCAGCTGGGTCCCGGACACCCTAAGGAGCAGACGCTGTCCAGGTGACACACGGGAGGAGGTGACACGGAAAGGCACTCCCTTGGGAGTTCCCTGGCCCACAGAAGTCAAAGCTCTCCTTTGTTTTCCCTTCCCAGGACCTTATAAGGGGTTGTGTGGGTATAGGGGAGACTCCAGCTGACAGCTGGGCACCGCTGGCAAAGGGTAGGGCTCCAGGTCGTGATCTCTGCGGGCCCTCTGTGTGCCCCAGC